TAGAGGACTCCATTTTTTCTTTCTTTTCTCCCAAGACTTGAATAGAAAAATAAACTGCCAGGCACACAGGAAGTCATCTCCAGGTATGCATATTGAGTAACATATTGTTCTTACTGGGCTCAAATTTAGATTTTTCACTTAAATAAACTCTGAAGAGCATGACTTTCTTTTTTCTCTAAATGATACTGTCGGCCAGAAGTACAAACACAGGAAGTCTCCTATCAGGTTTATTTCATTCAATTTATGGTGTATTCTCACTACTTATTAATATTTTCATATAATCAAATGGTGTTATTTTCTTCCTGACACTAACTCTAGCACAATATAGACCATTCTAAATAACTTATCAGCTGTGCAAATGGAGAGTCACAGAGATAGTCCTAACCACTGTCCCCTGTACAGTGCCCATATTCTTCCCAAATGAAATTTTATGCAAAGAGTCTTGAATATATTCCCTTATCAGGAGAAATTGTTTTAAAAGATTCTAATATTATATGTGTGTTGCTTTGGATATCCCTCACGTTTAGAAAATAAATAATTCGCCTGTAAAGAGATAGTCATTTGAATATTTTAGATTAAGATAACCAAGTATATAAACACAAAAAATAGCCCTGCAAATTCAGAGATTTTAATACTCTTCTATCCCTGACTACTCATTTAACTCCATATGTTAGATAAGTCAGTGTGGCAGGTGTATTCAATGTGGTGACCAGGAGTTGGGGAAATTAAGGAGCATTGGTAATCAAGAGCTAACATTTCAAATTGGGGTCTGTTTCAAACAAAAGTTATTAAATATCACCTGGAAATAATCATGTTTATTTATTAATAACCAGATGCTGATAAATATGAATATTTCCTAAGATTTCCCACCACCAAAAAATCTAATAACTTATGCATCAATAGATTATATTGTTACCCACATTTTCCATACACTGACTCCAAGTTTAGTAAAAATAATTGTTTTAAAGAACTGGAGAAGTACGAGATGGCTCATGCATGTAATCCTAGCTACTCAGAAGGCTGATGTGGGAGGATCGCTTGAGCCCAGGAGTTTGAGGCTGCAGTGAGCTACGATCATGCCACTGCATTCCAGCCTGGGTGGCCCTGTCTCGGAAAAAAAAAGGAAAAAACAATGGAAATTTATTCTGGGCAGGCTTGGTGGCTCACGCCTGTAATCCCAGCACTTTGGGAGGCAGAGGTAGGAGGACTGCTTGAGCCCAGGAGTTCAAGAGCAGCTTGGGTAACATGGCAAGATCCTGTCTCTACAAAAAATAAAAATAAAGAAAGAAAGAACCTGGTGAGTTTTCTGAGGAATTCCCTAAATAGCATATTGCTACTTTGCTATGTATGAAAGCAAAAGATTTTCGAGTCAGATCTACACAGTTAGCGGATATTTTTCAAGACTTTAAGTGAAGAATTACTATTTTATTTTTCAGAGATCATATTTGAAATATGGCTCAGAGTGACTTCCTCTACCCAGACAACCCAAAGAGACGGCAGGAAGTTAACCGTCTTCACCAGCAGCTCCTTGACTGCTTATCTGACAGCTTCCATGCCACCAATAAGTTGACGGGGGTTCTAAATATGCACTTGGGGTGCAGGCTCACCCCCATTGAGATGAAAAGAGATGGGACCATCAAAGAAAACTGCGATATCATCATCCAAGCCATTACGGAAATCCAAAAGGAATTGCAGAAGGTTGATGAAGCACTAAAAGACAAACTAGAACCAACGCTTTATAGAAAACTTCAGGATATTAAGGAAAGGGAAACAGAGAAAATTGCGATAGTACAAAAGGTGATCTCAGCCATCCTAGGAGAAGCTACATCTGCAGCCAGCGCAGTGGCTGTTAAACTTGTAGGCTCAAATGTCACAAGTGGTATAATTAACAAGTTAGTCACTGTGTTAGCTCAAATTGGTACTTCTCTCCTTGGTAGTATTGGAGTTGCTGTTCTTGGCCTTGGCATAGATATGATCTTCCGTGCCATCCTGGGAGCAGTAGAAAAAACGCAGCTTCAAGCAGCCATCAAAAGTTATGAGAAGCATCTGGTGGAGTTCCAGTCAGCCTCAGAAAAATATCATCATGCCATTACTGAGGTCTCCGATACAGTGAAACACCAAATGAAATGAACATTTTATCTGCTCCTGGAATATTTTTCTGCTTCCCTTTCAATAATTGTGTTTGCTTCTTTGATTAGGCTCATTTTCCATACGCTTCTAATAGGGACTTAAATAGGGTAAACAATTTTGAAATGGGAATTGAAAGACACCAAAAGTAGATGACTTTTGTGTTTTGTACCAACAATAAATGCCTGTATCAGTTGGTGCTACTCCTGAGAAAATTACATCCCAGGATGTTTTCTCAACCTGCTCTACCAGATCAACACTGGTGTAAATGCCATTATAGAGAAGCGAGTATAGCGGTTACCTTTTCCTTTTCTAATTTCCAGCCAAAATCCTTAAAATTTACACTGAATGCAGAGACTTTCATTTCTATCACTAGCTTCAAACATCGTTTAGTTCTCAGGGACGTACTTAGCAAATTCTACCTAGACACAATCCTTGGGCCTGCAAATGGTATAGGAATACTACCATATTTTTGACCATCAGATTAAATCCAATTTTCTGTAAACTGGAGGAGACCGAAAAATGGTTTCTAACGATATGCTTCAATGATGAAAGGAAGCAATGGATCTGTAAACTTCTATTAATTACACAACGTAATGCGGATGGATTTTGAAAAGACAAAAGTTAAAACTAAAAAGATAAAGGTTCTGTTTCTATAACTGCAATCAACTCTGACCAACTGTGATGGTTAACTATCACTCAAGTGAATGTTTCTACACTCTGGAACATGTAAAAAAACAAGCAAGGAAACCACAGCTATATATGCATAAAATGCATTTAGGATGTAGAACAGAGAGTCACTACTCTTTAAGAATTTGTCATTTAAAGGAAAGTCATAATTTATTACATTATCAATTTTCAGAAAAAAGAGAATATAATTTCATTTTCAATACTAGCAAAAAGGAGATAGCTGTTTTTACGTGAAGCATTAGGTAGTCCATTTCACTAATTACCTAATTTCAGAAAAATCCAGAGGGTATGGAGGCCTAACGGTTCAGCTGAATCTCTGGAGATGCAAGTGTTTTGTTTCCTAAATCCACCATCAATGAATAATTCCCAGCAGGGCTCTTTTAGTGTACACTTACAAAAGTATTAATATGCTGTTGATGTGAGAATGTGTTTGTTATAGTTGATTTCTCGCAACCAAGTACAAGAAATAAAAACTGCTCGGCATATCTCAAAAATTTTAATTACCTAGGTGAAAAATTTTAGCTAGATGAAAGACCTTAATTTTTTCAATGTACGCTTCACTTTTTCTTTCTCTTCTAGCGTTGCTTTTTTAAGTTAGTTGCAAAACATCAAAATTTAGTTCACCTTTAAAATTAAATCTTATTTTATTACCGGTTTATAAGGTTTAAC